ATCAAATTACACTACAGTGATAATGAAATATATACGGTTTTTCCTGCAGGATTATTTCAATTCTCAGAAATTATTTTTCTGTTGGATCTTCATTTTTCTCTTTGTCCTGTATGTATATATATGTATGAGCATTCATATGTCCTACAGAGATATTTTTCTTCTTTTTCTATTATTTTTCCTATGAGTGGAAAGCACTTTTCCAGATTACTACAGCATTTTTCCGCTACGTCGATTCATTTTTCTGCAGGAGTTTCATTTTTCTAAAGGAAATGTATGTATATATAACCATGTTGTTCTCTCACTTTCACGTGCTAAATTTTTATTTTATTATAATATGACTCTTCAAATGTCCTTAAAGTATTATACAAATCTGTATACAATCATAAGAGAGAAGAGAAGAGCAGAAAGAAAGGATAACCATACTAGCAAAGATGAAAGAGAGAGAAAAGAGATCAAGACCAGAATGCTGATGAATCACTGCTAACAATTCCATAACTTGAAGAGATTTTTCTGCTATCATATAGCATTATTCTCACTAATAGGAAGCATTTTTTCGCTATCCTCGTGTTTTTTTCTGCTGGGTTTTTAATCTTTTCAAAGGGAATGTATGTATTTATATGTATATTCATTCATTCATCTGTAGATAGATATGAATCATGATAGGTGTCCTCGTTCGGTACTGCTGTGATATTTCTCTTGGTATGGAAGATCGTATTTTTGACCTGAACGGCATCTTTCCGCTGAAAATAATCATTTTTTCTACCGATCAGATTATTGTCCACTGCTGGTTTTGACACCACTGGAAAGAACGTAAATCTGAACGAACAAAGAAAGTTCGGATATTTTTTTTTTAATTATTTCAGATTGAAACGATAAATCGGATTGACTCATGTATTTGTGTCTGGGTGAGGGTGGAGAGAAGATCTTCATCTATACCGCACACCCACATTCTGACCCACAAAGTACTAACCAATAATTGATTTTCATTGAAAACAATAATAGCTCTCGCTAATACTTCTCAAAAAGACAATAGACTTACCCCCTCCCCCCCTCAAAAATCGATCTCAGGTTAGGAACATCCAAATTCCATGAAACTTTCAGGATATGTTGGGGCTGGTGAGCCATGGCTATGGTAAAATTTTCAGCCCTATAGCACGATGTTTAACAGAAATATTCACCAAACAAGGATCCAAAATAGCCCAATAGTATCTCCAAGTTTTCTCTGTGGGCCTTCATTCTAGTCATTTAATTCTTTTTTTGTTTGAAAGAGCATGTCAGAATGCAGCGCCTCTCGTGGCCCTTTTTTTAAAATTTTTACTTTTTAAGCGGAGAAAAGGAATGACAAGTTCAATGACTAAGAAGATCCCTAAAAAAATGGCGCTGTTTCTATAGAGATGTTCTCTTATATGATACTAAAAGGGCTTATTTTTAAAAAAGGGCCACGAGGGGCGCTAGCCCTACACACAAGCTTTCAAACAAAAAAAAGTATTTGACTTTACCTCTTACTGTGATAGAGTTCTGCTGGAGATGCGTCGTTGAACCCACGTTCTGAGAAAAACGAAAAATGATTTTCGGTTTTTTGTAAAAACGGCTTGTTTTTCGAATAGGGTCTGACGAAATTCTTCCAAATTTTTTGAAAAAAAGAGATGCCGAATAAAAATTTTTGTCGTTTATGAAAGAGCGGATGACGGGCTATTTTTCTATGGATTTATCTCAATTTCGATGATTCTGACGAAAAGTGACTTTTTTGAGGGATCTTCTTAGTCATTGAACTTGTCATTCCTTTTCTCCGCTTAAAAAGTAAAAATTTTAAAAAANAGGTCTGCAGTAGTGGGGGGGGGGCCCGGATGCGGGCTCGCCAGCGGTTACTGATGTACAAGTCATATTCGATCACTATCACAACAAAAAGAAGTGATACGTTGGATAACACCTACACAAATCATATATATATATATATTCTTATGTATATTTGAATTTAAATGTAAAATATCAGTCGGGAAGTATTTTTAGAACGAGGCTTGAGCTATGACAAACCTAATTATATCGTTCGATAGAGTTTCTAACGTTGTACTTGGAACAAGAATGCGAACTTTGGAATAGGTCCCTGAACAAGTTTTCTTCGAATCTAGAAAAATATGAATATTCGAATTTTTAATTGTTATTTCGTACAGTTAAATATCGCGCCTTTGTCTCGTATGTTACATCAAGATGTTCTTGGCAACAAATATTTTTTTTTCGATTATAGTTAATATTTCATAAGTAGATATATTAACTGATAGATGTTTTTTTCCTTACCTTCGTAAATTGTTTGTTTTTCTTATGTATGAGTTTGCTTCCTTTTTACTAACAGAAACTACAAAATAATATCAGATCTAAACAACTAGCAGAGAACAGGAAGAATAGGAAAAATCCATAACATGTACGACAGAACAGAAAAGCCCATAAATGATGTGTACAGACAAGAGGAGAAAATAAGTATGCATAGTATGGAAACATAGTGGGAAAAAAGTAAATGATCCTATCCAGAAAATCTAGGATGCGTAATGTGGATATTTCCAACACTTGCAAATGCTTTAGAACTCACTATCCAGAAAAATCTTTTCCAACTAAAAGTTATGTTCTTCTATAGAGCACAATGCTTTGTAATTAATATGCAGATTTTGACAAAAGAATTTTTCTCCCCGGAATTAAGCTTGTCAAAAAAAAAAAAAAAATTGTGATTGAATTTTCAAAAGGAATAGTTAGTGATTATAAATAACTCAGAACACTGTAGAAAATCTAAAACGAATGTTGAAATATATGGGTGACAATTTCGAACCCACAAACGTGACAAGCGTTCCTTAAGAGACTATCACAGACCGTGACAGATACCTTAGTAACACTTCTTCACCCGTGCAGAATGTGACAAACATAACTGCGAGATCAAATTCCACTGTGGAATCGGTTTTGATAATTGTTCTGTACTTTTCCTTCGCAATCATTACAGCATATTGCGATTAATATCTTTCATTATTGACATGTATGAGCAGTAGGTAGTTAGTCAGAAACTGAAACACATATTGATTAATCATTAAAAATATTCTTTTACACAACAGAAGCTAATATTTATTAAATAGATTTGAACAAATAAGAAAAGTGCAACAATAATAACAAAAGCATAAGTTTATTCATATAAATGTTCCAAAAGATACATTAAAATCATGTATTTTTATCATTTAAATATTGTTTGATAGTTTCAAAATCAAAATATTGTTGTAAATTATTATTGAATTTTTTCATTGGTTCAACAATCGATAAGCGCATTTCATCTAGCATATCAACTTCATTCAATAATTCAAAACGAAATGATGATACATCATTTTTAAGTTCTTTAAGTACAAGACCATCATTTGTTTCATTAATACCAATATGTTTATTTTTATAATAAAGTAAAAATCGTCTAACAATACGTTCAATCACTATTTTATATGTTAATGTTTCATGTATTACATAACTACGTTGACGATCAAAGATTCTTTCATTTTTAAATCTATCATTTTGTGTACTTCTATTATTTGTATCATTATTACCATTATTACGATTTCTAATATTAAGATCATCCAATTGATCATCTTTATTTCCCTTTAATCGTTCATTATTATTTTTTGATGAATTTTTCGAATAAATCATATGTTTTATTCGTTTTAAAAGATAAATAAAAGATTTTGGCGTTGGACAGATATTCATTGGAACGGGTAGAGTATTTCCTAAAAAGGAAAAAAGAAATCTAGTGTAAACAGATTTTATTTCGAATTTCATGGAACTTGTAATTAGAGCTGTAAGCTGATGAACTCAATCGACAGCTGCAACTGAAATTTTGAAATAAAATAAAAGTAGAGAATGTAATGATAAGAAACGAAACACAAAAAAAAAACAGATCCTGAATGTCGAATATTTGCAAAAATCTATCATCTCAGTTTTTGTGTCATGGAGTCGGATCAGAAATTTGTAAAATTTTATGGCCATCAATAATGGTTGTGTCGATCGGCTTATACTTCTATATTTAATGTCTTCAAGATGATGTAGAGTATTCTTATAAAATCCGCGTAATTAGTAGACTATTTAAGGGCCCACCACCCCTCAAAAAAAGGAATTTTCGACAAAAATATCGATTTTTAGATTTATACATAGTTAGATAGCCCATTATCTCTACTTTCGAATGCACTATAATTTATTAGTTTTTCGATGGTTTTTGAGGGTTTTACAACGGTTTTTCTGAAGACCCCTGCATCAAAAAATTTTTTTTTCGAAAACTTCAGTTATTAAAGTTATTAGAACTTTTCTATACGTTTGGAAAAAAGTACGTCGTACATGTCTCTCTATGTGCTCATTCGATTCACCATAGTCGATAATCTATAATAAACTGCCTTCTTGTTTATTCACTACCATTTTTAAACGAAAAAATCGCGATAATCAAAGAAAAAATTGTTTTGTGTTTTTCTCGAAACTGTTTTTTTTTCGTTTTCTTTGACTATGTGTCAAAGATTTCTCCGCCATTTTAAATGTTAGAATGCTCGGGAAGGTTTTAAAATGAAGGTAAATATCAGTGCTACAACCTGACAAAGCCAGAATTTTTGTTTTCAATTTATTTGTTCACAAAAAACTCGAGTTTTCTAAAAAATTGATCTAGATTTTTCGAAAAAACTGTCTAAAAAAATTAATTTTTTTTCAAAAATCCAGCTTTGTCAGGTTGTAGGGGCAGGTCTTCTCTACATTTTGACACCATCCCGAGGTCCGTATCACTAAAATTGAAAACAAAATCTGTGACACACAGACACCTACTTTTGACCCTTGATGTTACAATAACTCGCAAAAAACTCAATATTATGAGCTCAAATTTTTACTGAGAACTATCAATGGTCAGATACATATTCAATAAAAATTTCAGTAAGATTGAGTGTTCTGGGAAAAAAAAATTTAAAGGGGTGGGGGCCCTTAACGGAAAATAACACATAAAATGTAGAACACAAGACTATTAGATATGTACTAACGAGGGAAACTTTTCAACTGATTAATTACTTTTGAGTAAGAACTATTTGCATCATGTAGGTTCTAATGAGATAGGAATATTCTGAAATGAGAATTCGAGTTCTTAACTTGTTGCTGTCGAAATATTGCATTTTCACGATATTTTTTTAATGTAGTGCTGCGATCCCTCTTCAAGAACACTAGGAAAAATTATTTTCAAATTTTGATTCGAGACTTTCCCCAAAGGCAGGCCTTTAAGAAAATAGACTATTATGAAAATTTCGAATCTTTTTGTTGTTTCTGTTCTAAGACACGACTACGGTAAAAATGTGTCGTTTATATATACCGCTTATATGCACCCAGGATTCGATCTCCTAATTTCAAGATAGGAATAAAGAAAAGATCTGAAATATTCATAATAAACTATTATCTACAAGATCTATCTATGGACAAAGAATTTCGAATCGAAATTCAAAAATCATTTTTTCTAGTGTTCCTGAAAAGAGACCATGGCATTGTATTAAAAAATATTGTGAAGAAGCAGTATCTCAACAGTAATAAACTAAAGGCTCGAACTTTTTTCAGGATATGCATATTACATTAGGATCTACTTGATATACATGATCTTGGCTCAGAAGTGATCAACAAGTTGGAAGACTTCTCTTGTGAGACTGTTTTCATTTTGAACTGATTTATCAGTGAATTGAATTTGTTAAGAATTATTGAGGGTCATAAATGAGAATTGATTGATTCTTAGACACAGAGGTGCAAAATCTGCCGTAAAAAGGGAAAATTTCCCCAAGCAGAGAAATCTTTCGAAGAACTTTCCCAAATCTTATAGTTTCCAAAACTTCATCAGACGCAATTATTTTTCAAAAAACTTTCTCCAGATACAATGGTTTTCCAAAAATTTCCCCCAGCGCGCGCTTGCGCACACGGGTAGATTCTGTATCTCTGCTTAGACATCAAACAAACATCATCTTCATCTGATTCTTTTTAGTAGACAAAGAGAAGATTTATCACATAAAATTCTTTTCCAGACTATTCACGATTTAGCGAAAGGTCGCCCTCTTCTGCTTAATCATAAACCGTACAGACAAACGTTAAGCAACGTTCTCAACTTCATTGTTTTCAAGATTCGATTGAACAGGAAAGGAAGCAATTTTTCTATGAAGGTGAAGTTCGTCATTCCGAATTTTGTAGTCATCCTATTGAGGACTGTATCAATGCTTCTCTGAAAGTATGTGTTCATTGTCTCTGACAGAAAGAATCTATAAAAACCAGTATTGATTTTTTTTCTCGACAACTCCATTTCAATCATGAAAAGTTTATTTTCCTGTTGGAATATTTCTCAGATCGAAAACATTACTTTTTCAAACGGATTATTTGCTGTCATAATGTTTATAACTTAATTTTTCACTAATTGAAATTTGTTTTTTGATCAATCACATATTTAAAAAACAACTCATTTTTTTGCCACCTGAAAAAAAAGAATAACCTCAAAACTTAACATCGTTTGATTTAAATATTAAGATTTTAATTCAAACAAAGATAATTTATGTTGGACAAAAAAAAGATCTTTCGCTTTTTTTTTTTTACCATCTCGTATATATTCCATATAAAGTCTTGAACGAGCAAATTTCCATTCAACATCAGCTCGATCATCAATTGTATCAATGGTTTTTCCCATCATAGCAATTAAAGTATTAATAAGAACTGTCACACAAATAAATGTAAACAGACCAAAAATCACAAAACCAAGATTTGATGAAAATAAATCAAAACCTGATGCATAATATTTTTGATCAGGTTTTTCACATGTTAATGAAACAAGTTCATATCCTCGATCCTAACAAAAAAAATAAAAATAAAAACATATATTAATTAAGAATTTTATTCATACTTACTGGTAATTCATCTTCAGCAATAACTCCAAATAAAGTAAAAAATGTTGTCAATATTGTCGATCCAAAGCTTTTACCAAAATAATAGATAGCTGGATATCGTCCAATTCTTTGAATTTTATCATAACCTCTAGTCTTTTTACAAGAAAAATTCTTATCTTGATCCATATTATCTAATGTTTCTAAATATGTTATATTTGGAAATGATTGATTTAGAAATGCATAGTATGGTAAACATCGAGAACTTGTTTCTATTGATAAATTACTATATCTTGTAATTGAAGAAGTCTTCGGTTCTACATCATTCAATGATTTACCTAAAATTTCCTCTTGTTGTTGTAAAGCCACAGCAAAATTGGAAAAAATTAAAAATAATGAACATGCAAATGCAATAAAAAAGATTAAAATAATTACAATCCATTTTGAAATATCAATTATCATACGTTCAAGCATTACCTAAACAACCAAAGAAGATTTTAAAAATTCTATTTTTGTGATATTCATGTGATTCCAATCGAACGAAAATCGCCGGTAATGTGAACAAACGTATGACATAGGTAGAGAACGGATCGTTTTTTTTTTTTGTGCAAGTATAAAATGGTTCTAATTTGACGTCATTGTAGATCATTCGATTCTTTAGAAAATGAACTGTTGCATTAAGTTAGACAGAAAGGTTTATTACAATGTTGATTAACTATTTGAAAATATCTATCGTCGATACTAAAAAACCGAAGTATTGCAAACGAAAATTGCACTTCTCAAGACTTCTACGACAGAATTTAGTAAACATCACAGAATATCGGTTACAGAAATCTATTTGAAGCGTATTAATACACTGTCACTAGAGGTGTAAGCCGCCGGTCTAAGCCGCCGCCGCTACGGAATCGTAGATAATTTTAAGAATTTTTTAGGAGCCGCCGCTGTGAAAGAGTAAGTTCAGCCGGTGCGCCGCCGTCACGAACGAAAACTTTTGGTAATAGTATAAGGCGCCGCC